TGGGTTCAATTCCAGACCTGAAGGGCAGCTAGGGGCCATAGTCTCAGTGGTTCCACCGGGCTCTATCGGACCGCAAACCTGGTCATCACCCCTTATTTTTCCTCTCCAAATGATTTTGAGTTTTGTTCCACATTGTTCTCCCTCTCTATCCAGGATGTCCTACATAGATTCCCTACCAAGTGGTTGACAGTGGTAGCCAGGCACCATTTAGTTCTTCTGGTCTCATAGTCGTATAGGCTGCAGATCGGATGGTGTACCAGTCGCTAGGACTGATTGTATCCATGAATTTTTTGGTTTTCTTCATTCTTCTTTGCTCTGGATGAGAGAGACCCATCATTGCATCTAGATGGCAGCTTGCAAGCTTTTAAGATCCCAGTCGCTACTCGCCAAAGTAAGAGGTCGAACAATGTTTTGTGTAGTATGTTATGCCAATTGAGCTTGAGTCCTCTGAGACCATGGTCCTGATTTTTTTTTTTTTTTTAAGTTATCAGAATGTGTGTAGGCACAGATATTTGAGCAATAAACTCAGGGGGAGTGGGAGCAGGTAGGAGAAAATACCGCTGATACCAATTTTGAGAGTAGCCAAACTTCATAAGGAATAGTATATGCTTATTTTTCCAAGTCTGCTTATTTACAAAGATGCAGGATCAATTAAGTAGGCCTTGATATTTTAAGGACAAAGTTCCAATTTTTAGCAAGAAGATACCAAAGTTTGCTGTTTGTTCTATTGTGCATTGGTGGAGCAGAGGCACAACCTTCATCAGCAAAGGAGGGGCTGGAATTTTGTGGCCAGGGAGTTTGGAGGATAAGGAATGTCATAGACTTACATTAGTTCCATTTAGAAAGTTCCCAATGGCTAACAGAGTAGACAGGATGAAGCCTAAGGTTTTGTTGTTCTCCAACTGGTCTATTCCTTCCTTCAGGTCCAAAAGTGGTTCTGCCACTTCCTTTCAATTGAAAAAAAAAAAAAAACAGGAGAAGATAAAGATAATATATTTTGGTTTTACTCTGTTCTTTTTAATTCTTGCACAAACAAGAAAAAAGTTCTCCCCAACATAAGGCAATCAATCCCATGTGATGGGTATGTGCTCCTAGGTATGGAAAAGGTGTGGGAAGGTGGCAGGGAGAGTTGACCTTATGGATCAATGTCTACCCATTGGAAACTAGGAGTAAAATGGGTACCTGTGACTAATAGGAGCTTGTACAGGTATGACAAATGATCTGTCTTCACCCCATTCCTGCCCATCTTTCAAGCTCAGGCAAGACCCTTAGGCCACACCCTCCCCATGCTCTCTCCTAGCCAGGAGTGACTTCTATGACACCATTCCTTCACCTGTTACTTCAGCATCTGGACCACTATTTTCTCTTTAGCTTTCTCCCTCCATGCAGATGACACGGGAAACTGTGACCTCAGTGTCCCTAGACCAAGCCAGGTCCCATAACCTCCCCTCTAGGCACTCTGTAACTCATTGCCTCTCAGCCTAGGTCACTCACTGGGAGGCCACTGTCTTTGTCACTCCCACTCCCTCAGACTCAGCCTGCTCTGTAGTTTCACAGCCTCTGTCTACCCTCCCCATTCCACTGTGAATCTGTGGACTCCTATGTCCTAACTGGGGAGCTCTGGTGGCATAGTGCCTAAGGCATTTGACTGTTAACCAGAAGGCTGGTGGTTCAAACTCGCCAGCCACTCCTTGGGAGGAAGGTTGGGCAATCTACCTCCATAGATATCCCTCCTACTAAACCCAAGGAGGGGTCACTATGAATCGGATCCAACTTGACAACAGTAGGTTATATCTTTACTGAGGCTCTCCATCAGCCTAGATTCCAAAGCCAGAGACCAGCTTCATTTTCTCCAGCTTAGCTTCTGGCAGGCTTGCCCTGCCAATCCCCAGTCAAGGTGGACCCAATTATCTGTTTTTTCCATCAAGCTATCTCATTTTGTTAGAGAAAGTCACCTAAACATGCTGACTACTTTGTGACCAAGCCACACACCAG